CAAACTATCACAAGAACAGAAAACCAAACACCCCATGTTCTCACTCATAGGTGGGAACTGAACAATGAGATCACTTGGACTCTGGAAGGGGAACATCACACACTGGGGCCTATCATGGGGAGGGGGAAGGGGGGAGGGATTGCATTGGGAGTTATACCTGATGTAAATGACGAGTTGATGGGTGCAGCACAGCAACATGGCACAAGTATATATATGTAACAAACCTGCATGTTATGCACATGTACCCTAGAACTTAAAGTATAATAATAATAAAAAAGAAAAAAAAAAGAAAAAAAAAAAGTCACATACTCAAGAGTCACTTTGTAGCCCTTAGCTTTTTTGTCTAAAGTAGTCCCAAGAGCAGGTCTGCCCTTCTCCCACCCACCAGCACCCTCTCTCATCCTCCATTTTTCAAATCATTTGCCAGCACACAGCGGTATCCAAGGTGCCTGGACTCTGTCAGGTTTTCATCTGGAAAGCAAAGCAAAGCTATCTGAAGCCACTCACACATTGATCTCCTAGCAATGAACAGAATCCAACTTACATGAAACCTGCCACTCCTGAACCATGCTTACAATAGAGCACTCTGAGCAGCTGTGACCCCTCTATCTAGAGCACCATGTCAAAAATGCGTATAAGGAGTAACAGAAGAGACAAGAAACAGAAATGGAGACCAGTCCATGAGCACCTCCAGGACTCAGTTTCTTCATCTTTTCATTAGACAAGATCTGAGTCAGATGATTTTTAGGATCATTTTCAGCTCAAAATCTCTGTAACATACATAAGCATCACAAGGCTGTGGTTTTCATTTTTAAAAACTGCGTAAGATTCAGGGATTCGATAAGGAAATGTATTTTAACTTTTCAGTCATTTGCCCCAGGCAGAAAAGAAATGTGATGTACCAGTGTGTGCTTTGGAACTTTGCTTGGGCACCTTAGAAATTTTCTGAAACAAATAATACATGAAAAAGATCTCAAAAAGAAATGCTACCAGTTTATGCGGCAGAAAAGGGACTTGCTATCTATTTAGCACCCACTGTGGGTTACAGACTTTGAAGAAATTCCCAGAAAAGCTTCTGAAGCCTGCAGTCTCTTGGTGGAGTCGTTTCTTCTATGGTCCAGTCCTGAGTATTCATAGTTGTGAGCATTTTAATAAGTGTTTCATTTCTCTTTTAAATGAATAGGCTCAGAGAGCCTACCACACCTTGATTAAATAATAACAATAACTGTCACACAAAAACTGTGTTCGGCACTTTCCTTACAATATGTCTTTCGATACTCACCACAGCATCATATTCCCATCTTACAAGGTGAGAAAAGTAAAGTTCAGAAACATTGAGTAATTCACCCAAAATCATCCAGACTTTAGAAAGAGGCAGAGTTTGGTTTCAAAGGTAACTGATAATAATCCCAAAAGATACAATCCCAAATGCTATAAACCTGAATGCTGAAATCCCGAATATGAAAATTTTGGTCTAAAGTCTAAAATCCCTAAAATATAATTCTAGAAAAAATAATTTAAAAATTATTTTAAAGACATTCATTTACATTTTTAATGAGGATATATTTGAGAAACGTATAAAAACACAACAGGGCATTTCATAGTCCAATTTACACAATAAAATATGCAATACATATTTTGCAAACATAAACACTCATGTACACTAATGACACTCACACAAGCAGAACAGTTATGAGCAGATGAGCCATACTCATAATGAAATAATTAGTCAAAAAAGCTAACTATATAAACACATACCACTATGGTTGATAATTGTGACCCCAGCTTCATAACTGCAGTCACCTGAAATACCTCCATGGACAACTTGTCTTTCGACATGATTGGTCAAAAACTACAATGGATCACCACTGCATATGCAGTTCCCCAAAGAGCTGAGAGTTCAAGAAATTTTATCTTTCATAAATGCATATGTACAAAAAGAAGATTTCTTTATTTATTGAGAAAGTTGCAACATTTTAATTCTGAGAACCAGAGAAACTGATGGTTTAGCTCTTAGTCCAAAGCTGAAAGTCCAAGGACCGCCCCCAGGGTCAGGTGGTCAGAAGTCCAAAGGCCAGTGAGCCTGGGGTTCTGGTGTTCAAGACAGCAGAAGAAAATATGGTCCAGCTCTCAGAGAAAGATGAATTTGCCTTCTTTATTCCTTCTCTCTGGGACCCTGGCTGATTGGATGGTGCCAGTATTGAGGGCAGATCTTTCCCACCTAGTCCACTCAGACTTATGTACTAACCTCCTCTGAACACATTGATATAATCTGGCTCTGTGTCCCTACCCAAATCTCAACTTGAATTTTAATCCCCATAATCTCCACATGTCTAGGGAGAGAAATGGTTGGAGATGATTGAATCATGGGGGCAGTTTCCCCCATGCTGTTCTCATGATAGTGAGTGAGTTCTCCTGAGATCCAATGATTTTATAAGGGGCTCTTCGCCCTTTGCTCCTCACACTCTCTCTCCTGCCACCATGTGAAAGGGTCCAAGTTTGCTTCCCCTTCACCTTCTGCCGTGAATGTAAGTTTCCTGAGGCCTCCCCAGCCATGCAAAACTGTGAGTCAATTAAACCTCTTTTTTTTAAAATAAATTACCCAGTCCTCAGTACGTCTTTATTAGCAGCGTGAGAACAGACTAATACACATACCCTCACAGACACATCTAAAATAATGCTTTATTGGGCCTCTAGTTAATCCTTTATCCAGTCAAGTTGACACCTACAATTAAGTTCACAGTCCACCCTTTTTAAGTTTGCACCCATATGTATCTCCTTAAACCATACTTAATTTCCAGATGAAGACAATAAGGAAGTAACATGATGTAACTATCCTGTGATTGTGATGTTCAGGATTTTAGATGTTAGAGATTTTATATTTTAGAGACTTAGACCTTTAGGAATTTTGATATTTTGGGATTTCAACATTTGGGGTTATGGTGCCCAGGATCATCTACCGAGATTATGATCCAAACCTGTTGCAAATCCTATTCTCTCTAATTATATAGCTAATTGTCCTCAATATCTCAGTGCAAAGTGTGATCTGAAGACCACCTACATCAGACTCACTTAAGGTACCTGTGGATAATGTTGACTTCTGGACCCTAGGTCAGACCTAAATCAGCACCTTTGTGTGCATGTGTGGTAGGGAGAACTGGGAGTAGGAATTTAGATTAAAAAAAAATTCTGCTGGGCACGGTGGCTCACGCCTGTAATCCCAGCACTTTGGGAGAATGAGGCAGGTGGATCATGAGCTCAGGAGTTCAAGACCAGCCTGGCCAACATGGTGAAACCCCATCTCTGCTAAAAATACAAAACTTAAGCTGGACGTGGTGATACACACCTGTAGTCCCAGCTACTTGGGAGGCTGAGGCAGAAGAATTGCTTGAACCTGGGAGGCTGAGGCTGCAGTGAGCCGAGATCATGCCACTGCACTCCAGCCTGGGTGACAGAGTGAGACTCCGACTCAAAAAAAAAAAAAATTCTCACGTGATTGTTTTACGCATTCAAATTTGAGAACTTCTGCACAATACATTATATTGCCTTTCTAAATAAAACTTTTAAGAACCTGATATAAACCCAAAATGCAGATAGAAAGAATTACAACAAGAAATATAGAAACTAAGAACATTGTAATACTCAGGTTGGATGGCCAGTCTATTCTCTCCCTAGTACATGAGAAACTAAACTGGACCTGGAGAACAAGTGTGGAGGAGGTGCAAAAAGGTTTGGACTAGTTCAAGAGTCATGTCATCCTGTTTGTCTCCACTCCACAATGGGCTTGAATCTGACAAGGGAACCAGTTTGCCCAGCACCCTCAATGTAGGCCACTTCTAATTCGGCCCTGATAAAGTCTCACTCTTTGTCTCCCCTGGCCTACCTCAGTCTCCCATTGACACATTTTTTTTTTTTTTCATGAATCAACTTAGAGATGTTTTAATTCGTACTGAGTTTCTCCATTGACACATTTTTAATCAGTCAGGGTCCAATAACATCAAGTAGATTATGGTTCTTTTTTCAGTTTCTGAAGAAACAGCTTAGATACCTCAATTAGAGTGGGACCCTTTCCTGATTGCCTCCATTCATTGCATACCTGCAAACTATTTGCTCAACAGGGAACAGTTTTGTAGAAAATATAAATTGCTGGCACTTACATATACCATGTTCTAGATAGTGTTCTAAGAACTTGATTTGTGTTATCTTAATTAATCTTCGCCACAGACCTATGAAGAAAATACTGTACATTGTCTTCATTTTACAAACAGAAACTGAGGCACAAAATGGTTAAGTAAGTTTCTGAGGTCCAAACAGATATAAGCAGCAGAGCCTGAATCTGAACACATGCAACGGAACCCCAGTCTATGCTCTTATCTCCCCAGCTACTTTGCTTCTCAGAATATCTTATATGCTTATTTTTGCTAGTTTTATTCTTTGATGGTGATAAACTTATCTCCACATTCAGGTGGCATTTAAAAGAAAGACTGTAAATCTAACAATAAATATACAACTGACTCAGCATTACATTTGTCACACACATAGGAGAGTGATCTGAAAAAAGAAAATTATCTTTACAATGCCAGCTTGTTGTGTATCCATAATCCTAGCACTCACCTTCATTCAGAACTTATTTTAAAATTACATAATGCAAATTCTAAACATAAATGTCACTTGGAATATTGAATAAACTGGGTAAAACAGTGGGATATACATATATCACTCCTCTCCTCTGGGTTACCTCACCCATCCTAATGTTTATATGGATATTTTTACTCATAAATTATTTGAGACTTCCTATTTTATAATACTACTCTTACTGTATTCCTGCTGTTGCTGAAGATGACTTCTTAGTAAGTTAAACTATGTGATACATTTTTTATTGTTTCACTGTCTTTATTCATTTTGAAATTGACAAATAAAAACTTTATGTATTTATGGTGTACAACATGATGCTAAGCTAATTTATACTTTATAATTTGTTTTTAAAATACTCCCTTAAGATTCATGACATCAGGAGGTGAGAGTCTACAGGAATAACAGACCAGACACAAGTTTTGTTTCTACTGTCTTTCTCCTCTTCTGTGTGAAGCCCTGACTTCTACAAAAGCCTAAAATTTCCACACTGCAAACTCACCAATATTGATGCTGGGCCTCTCTCAAATAGAGACAAGACTATTTTAATTTTCCAAAGAAGTGATTTAGGAAGATGTAACTTCTGTGGGAGTTTGGAACTGGACAATGTTTCTTCTTGAAATGTTTGGCTTATTTTTATAAACAAATTAAAAGTGAAAGAATTTCTCTACCCCCAACCTTCCCATTGCTTTGATTATGTGTTTGGTTGCTAAATAGCAACCCCAGTCTACAGTATTTCACTTAAAGAAAAACTTCAGCGACTTATCCCAGCTGAACAATCAAAATATACCACACTGTTCCATCAAGCCTAGATTAAAGATAATTATGAATAATACAAAGACTATTTTACACTTCCTCCTCTACCACAAAGTTAAGCATTCAATCAGCTCATAAATTACCAGATCAAATATTACAACCAAGTCAAAAAAAGATTAAATCATTAAGTTGTAGATGAATGACTAGCTAAATGCCAATACCCTTTGAAAAAAATTTTAAAACGTCTTTCATTCTAGAGGAGCGTCTTAGTTTGTTCAGGTCTCTATAGCAAAATATTTTATATTGGGTAATTTATAAATAATAGAAATTTAGTTCTTATGGTTCCGGAGGCTGAGAAGTCCAAGATCAATGTACCGGTAGATTTTGCATCTGGTAAAGACTCTCTCTCTGCTCCACAGATCATGCCCTATTGCCATGTCCTTACATGGCAGAAGAGGCCAAGGATCTCCCTTTAACTTCTTTCACAGCAATACTAATCCCATTTATGAGGGTGGAGGTCGTATGACTTAGTCCCTTCCCAAAAAGCCTCACCTCTTAATACTATCACCTTGAGGATTGTTTCAATAAATGAATTTTGGAGGGCCACAAATATTCAGGCCATAGCAAGGAGGATTATCAAATATGCATCTTATGCATAAGTTCTATGGTTAACACCTTGAAGGACATGTATACAATACCTTTCAAGATTTGCCGGGAAAACTCTGATTTCAAACATCCTTCCCTGATGCCAGTGAAATTACTGAGTGGCTGCTATATGTTCTACAGAGCACGTTGCTGTTGGTCAAACTATGTGTCCTAAGTTTTCCTTTGAAAAATATGGTCAGAATAGACTTTTAATTCTTCCACCACCAATGAACTTTCTGAGAATGGCCTTTCAAAATGTATCTGATAGAACATGGGCTTGAAGGAGTTAATTTCAAGAGTTCATGTTTCTGAAACCAGGTTGTTTCAATTTTATTAGCTGTGTGATCTAGGAAACATTATTTAACCCCACTGAGTCTTAGTTTCCCCATCTGCAAAATGAATAATAATAGTGCCTACTACACTGGGTTGTAAAGATAAATTAATATGATAATAAATCTAAAGTTCTTGGAATAGTCCTTAACACATACTAACTTTTCAATAAAAGTTAACTCATTATTTTATCTAAACTATTAATCAATTTAACCAATGACTAGATGAGGCCTATACAGAAATATTGCCACATTACCACAAAAAAAATGGCTCTGTAAAATAAAAAGAATATTGACTTTTTATGAAAATTATGGATTTGTTGATATAATGTAACCCATTCCTGGGAAACTGTTTTCCTTTTTACCTTGTTTTTAATTTATGATGTAACTATTGTTTTGTATAATAAGTACCTTTACAATGTGAGAAAATATTTTTGTCTGTGTCTTAGTTAGCCAATATTGTATTGCCTTAATAATTCACTTGAGAAAAACCTTGAGGATGGCAACATCACATCTCCCTTGTTATCTGTCTTATACGTATTCAAATGAGTGGAACTGCCTATTACACCAGGACCAAATTATTTCAAATATCATATCAAAGACATATTTGTTGTTATGCTCTTTTCTGATTTGTCTATTGTGAAAAATTGATATATTATATCAAAAATAAGATATATTATTGTTGATATCTAATAAAAGTTGAAGAATGAATATTTATGTGGCTTTTCTCAAATTGAGATGGAAAATACTTACATATGACTTCTTTTTTCATCATTGTACAACCTAAATAGAAAAAATAATATGAAAAAGCATATAAGCAGGAAAATATGAGACCAATAAATAAGAATTCATTAATTTTTGAAAAAGTAAATGTGACTATAAGTAGTTATGAAGGCCCTGGCTGATTCTTGCAGAAAATCTGTTCTCATCGGTCCACTATAGGAAGGATAGATGAGATCACATGTGAGAATCAGCTGTGTAGTGTTAAAGTAGAGTTAATGCATTAAGGGGTTTGGGAAAAGAAAGGTTAATTAAGACATCTGTAGAACAACTTTAAACCACACCTCTAACATAAGCACAACCCAGACATGCAGTTAACACTAAGCCTCACTCATGGTAGGAGTTCAAGAAATATTAGAGGATGAATGAATAAATGAATGAGCTTAATCCTAGACTACAAGAAGATAGAAAATATGAAATAATTTATGATGTGTGTAGTGTGTGTTTTTCAGCTCATTGGTTGAGAAACAATCAGTTAACCTCCTTGAACCTTGATTTCTTCCTTCGGAAACTGGATTTAATACCATTATAATATAACAGTCCTTTCTACTTCCAAAGTATTATTGTGGCTTGCAAATTGGAACGCTCTGAAATTTACAAATGATATACAAAATTAAATTGTTTTTATTTTACTTCCTTTAAAAAAAAAGTGAAAAGTCTTTGGTATGTCTTCACTGATTTTCTTACTCTCAATCTACTTGTACAAACCTAGAGGTGTGGGGATGAGGTTGAGGATAGAGTGCAAAAGAGAAACATGAGCATTTGGTATACAAATTACAGTCTTCATCTTTTTCTGTGACAGTTCAGAGGGATTGCCTGGAGGTGTGAAGTGAGAGAAAGGAGTCATCATTATTTCTTTCTGTAAGTCAAGTACTGGATAGTTTATATGAAACAAGGTGTGGTGAGTCCCTGAGGAAAAAGGTGAGAGATAGCAGCCACAATCATAAGTTGAACAACAGTCATCACAGGTTCAAAGTGTGAAAAGCACAAGCAGTCCGGCCTGGCTATTTTAAGCTTCACTTGCACTCACAGCTGGCAATGTGTGAGAAATGCAGCCCCCTTCTGAAAGCAGTGGGTGATGGAGGAGGGAGGGAGGAGAGAGAACAGAAAGGGGAACCAGAATTTCCTATGTTAAATATTAATTATATGTGGGTGGCATTTTTTAAAACATACCCAAGAGTTGCTATTGAAATGCAAATGTGTGTTTATTGCCATGAGGGAGATGTTGTAAAAGAGAAAAAAAAAAATAGACAATACCCAGAGCTGGAAATTGCCCCCTGGGCCAAGGGCAGATGTTGGGTAAGAACACAAACATGCAGGGAGGACAGGAAGAAGGGAGGACAGGAAGAACACAAACATGCAGGGAGGACAGGAACAAGGGGGAAAAAAAGGACCAGGAAGAAGTAGAAAAGACCACCATGGAAATCCCAGGAGAACTGATTAAAAAGTCACAGCTGAGCCAAGCCTTTGTTACAAACCAAGAAAGAATTCTCAGGATTTAATGGGTAGAGTGGTCAACTAGTGAGAATTGAAAGACTTCTCAACTGAAGTAAAAATGGCAAAAATTGATCTATGCCTCCTTAACAATTGGCAGCATAATGGTAAATGGTAGCAAATGGTAATAATCAATCTATGTTTCCTTAAGTCTTCTCAAGAAAAGTAAAAATAGTAAAAATTGGTATATGCTGCTTTAGCAATATAACATAACACTGCACCTGGTGAGATAAGAACCAGATATTCCCAGATATTCCCTCTCCTTGTAGTGAAAAGTTGGATTAGAAATAAAGCAGGTTTAGAAAACTCAAGTATAGAGCAGAAAAGTGGTATCACTGGAAATGCAATAGAAAAGAGAAATCGCTGAATTGAGGTAATATTTACTGAAGAGATTTCCCATTAACCTTTCCTGCTCACTGAATAATGGCAGAGAAGAAAACTGAAGATGTGCTAGCAATGGGTCTGGAGGAAATGGGGAAAGCCAAATAATCACATGTGCCATTGTTTCATCACTTCCCCACTTTAAGATATCCTGAAATATGAATAAAAACAACATCTAGATATGCTTATAGACTAAGACAAAATCAATCATCAACAAACCATTGCTATTTCTGGGCAGCTTAACATATAAAGGCAAAGTGCTAAGGAAACTTAAATATGTATAGATTGGATGGAAAGCAGAGCTAGAACTAAATTCATAACTTCGTGTCTCCTACAGACACATAGTGCCTTTGTATGTGACTCCATGTATGTTTGTATGAAGTATTGTCGAACTATGTATTTCATTTAGAGATAAAATCCAAGTCAAAGGGAATTTAAAATCAGTTTTCTTAATTGATGTGTTCAACCAAAACTTACGTGTAAGTGCTTATTAATGTGCCACATGCAATTTTGGGTCCTGAAGATAAAGCAGGGAGCAAAGATGGACATAGAGCATGAACTTTTTGGCCGGATCACAGAAATGCAAGAGTATTTGGGAATCTCCCTGGAAGATCACTCCCTGAGTTGCCCAGGCCTTTTATTCTTAATGAGATGGACAATAAGGAATCATTAAGCATGTTTTTCTCAGAGGAAAGGCAGAAGCAATTTATACTGCACACAGACGAATGCATTAGCTATGTGCAAAATAGATGGGAGGAAGAATCGAGAATTTGAAATATTGGAAACCTATTTCTTGAGGTTGATGCATTAACATAGTTATGAGGACAAAGAAAAATTAATTACAGTGGTGTCAATGAGAGTATAAAACAAGTGATCAGATCTTTGTCAGAACTGGCAAAAGTTGGGAACAATTGCAGATGATAAGAGAGGAAGAAGGGAGCACAAAAAATTAAAAGTGTTTAATTAAGAAAGACCACATGATAGAGGTCAATTTACTAATAAAAGTGACCTAAATTATTCTAAGAACCACATAACACCAAGAAATCAGTAAGTTCATTAAGTTTTCCTTAAATTGGTGGTAACTGATAAGACATGTCAGAATGCTGACAGCTCTCCAGGCACTGGGGTCAAGAATGGGGCTTAGACTTCAATGTTACTTATCTTAAATTCATCAGTAAGATCCATAATGTTAACACACACTGCATTAGAGCTAACAGTTTGTTTTACAATTGGTTGAGATGCCCTTCATCACTCCTAAAAAAAAGATAAGTGTTGGAGGAAAAATACACATTTGAGAATGAGCTCTTTTTAAATCAATAAGGACATGAACTCACCTCCTTTCACAGAAGAGAAAATCTTCATTTTTTTTCCTCTAATGCTGACGTGCCACATACTAGTTATGTGGCTTGGATAAGAAAGGCAACATGCAATGGTTAAACACACACTAAAACTGAAAATTCAGGTAACATTCATTCATTCGTTCAAAAAGACTTCCTTGAACATCCTCTTCATACTAGGAACCATTCATGAACCCATAGAGAGGACAGAGAAAATAACATCAGGTGATAATAGTGAAACATAAGACAACACAGTATATTAAGAATAGTGAAACATAAGATAACACAGT